CACCCGACATTCCTTCGGCGGTTCGCTGATTGCGATCGGCAGCCGCCGAAGTTTGGGCGTCGAAGGTATATAGCCTATCGGAATAGCTTCGCTCTATCACCATCATGATGAGGCCTGGGCTCGAGTTTCTCAGATTCAATATTCAGCACCGCAAAGCCTTCGATTGGCACACTCGAATATGGAACAGTGATCACCACTAGGCTTGACGTCGAGCTGCCAATGGGCGTTTAACAACCCAAGTCTCTAAGCACCGTCCTCTCATTGTGAACCGACTTTTCACAGGCATTAGATATGCGGTGACATCACTTCTGTCGATGTGGGGCCTGAATCGACTCAGAAATACCTCGTGTCCTGCAGTGGGGCAGTCATTTATGACTATTCGATTATCCTCCCCGCCAAGGAGCTCGGCCTCGAGGCCCAGGTCACTTCTAAGGAGCATGGATCCCTTACAGCATGGTCCCCATTTTGAAGTCCGTCAACACAATTATGGGAGCGGGTTGTCCGTCGCTTATACGCTATAATGTTGTATGTTCGGGACTTTTGAACCGCAGCTCGAAAAGCCCGGACTCCAGCGGCGATACGTGTTATATACCGCCGATGTGTCGTTGTGACGTTCGTTTGTAAGAACACCCTCGCCTCTGTCTCTCAATGGCCCACAGCTTCGAAGCCCTAGCTGCGCTTGTCGCCATTGTACTGATATTTAGCCCTTACTTTTATCGGCTCAAGACTAGTAGTACAACACATAAGTTTCCTCCAGGACCAAAGCCAATCCCGATATTGGGCAATGCCCACCAGCTTCCTCCTGAATATCAATGGAGAGCGTTCGCTCAATGGGCTGAGATATATGGTACGGGGCCACACTGATGTCTGTGATTGATTTAAATACCAATTCTATATGGGATTGCAGGCGACATCTTTTACTTCAAGATATTCCGCAAGCCGGCCATGGTGATCACCTCTGTGATAGCGGCCCATGAACTGATGGAGAAGCGAAGTTCGAAATACTCCGATCGACCTAGGACAGTCGTGCTGACCGAGTTGTGAGTGTACTCTGCTATAGAAACTCTGAGCAGGTTTGACGTGACATTGCAGAATGCGCTTTGAACCCAATCTATCTGTTCTACGGTACGGGGCCCAGTGGCGCCGACATCGCAAATGGTTCCAGAGTGCATTTCAGGTGAAGTCATCTCAGGACAACCATCGTCCTCTCGTGTTACGGAACGCGAGGTGGCTGCTGTCTCTCATACTCGAGAACCCGGATGAGTATGGCTGGCACGTCAAAAGGCGAGTATGAAATTCGCGACATTACCGCCAATGCTTATAATAGAGCGACAATGGGGTAGATTCTCGGGTGCTACGATGTTGGAGATTGCTTATGGTCATCCAGCAACGTCTCCGGATGACACATTGATGAGATTAGCAGACGACACTATCACTAAAGGGTTTACCATAGGAGGCTCAGGCTCATCAATCATCGATTTTATCCCAGCTTGTGCGCAATTGACCCTTGTGATACCCCTGTAATATGTGCTTAGACTCATACACAGTGCGACATGTACCCAGCTGGATGCCTGGCGCGCGAGTTCAGCGAATGTCTCGCGAGCTTTCGCACGTGGTAAGATCGCTATACGACATTCCATATGATAGGGTAAAGAATGCGATGGTGAGCGTAATCGACTCGAACTCTCTGAAGTGGTCTGACAGTCCCCAAGGCAAACGGCACGGCAAGAAGATCGTTTTTGTCCTCTCTTCTTGAAGAGGCATCTGGAAAAGGTAGCCTTACAGAGGAGATTGAGCACGACATCAAGGGCGCTGCAGCCCAAGTTTATTCAGGCGAGTGTAGTATTATGATTGACTCGATGAATACATTGACTCACAGGTAGATTCGCTGCTTAGCCGGGACTGAGACGGTATTTCTGAATCTATCTTTGGGAATTGCAGCTCATGGCCGCATGTAGACTGTCAGCACCATCATCACCTTCATCTTGGCGATGGTTCTATATCCCGAGGTCGCTAAGAAAGCGCAGGCTGAAGTAGATGCAGTAGTAGGACACTCACGCCTCCCTGATTTCGATGACAGGGCTTCTCTGCCCTACTTAGAATGTGTTGTCAAAGAAGTCTTTCGGTTAGTACTTGGTCTGTATCTCTGACCTGTAATGTCTGACTGATCCTTTGAGCTTTCATGACCAGGTGGGGATGCCCGGTCCCGTTAGGTATGTGGAACTCAGTACTTTCACTAGATCGCTGGAATGGTGACTGATGCATGCCAATAGCATTGGCACACCAATCTGTAAGCGACGATGAATACCGTGGATACCATATACCAGCTGGAACTGTCATAATTCCGGACATCTGGCAGGTGTTCCGTGACCACTGTTCGAATCGAGGTGCTAATGATCGTCTTCGCTGTCTAGGGCTATGATGCGAAATTCGACCATTTACCCTGATCCAGAACGCTTCTCGCCTGAAAGATTTGAGAATCTCGATGCCGATACAATGGCCAAGATAGACCCGACAAAGATCGTATTTGGCTTTGGCCGACGGTAAGGATCTACGCTGCAGCTGTACGCGCCGGTGCATACTGATTTCTATAATAAATCAGCATCTGTCCTGGTCGAACCTTCGGCGACTCGACTGTCTGGCTCGCTTTCGTTAGTATGCTGTCTGTTTTTGACATACGCAAGGCTCGAGATGCAGCTGGTCAAGAGATAACACCTGCACCAGATTTCTCTGATGGGCTCATTCGGTGAGTGGGTTATATACCCAATGATGCTCGATATGTCGGCTGATCGAAGCCGAAGTCATCCTCCTTCGTTCAAATGCGACATCACGCCGCGGTCTTCGAAAGCGGCAGAGCTTATTGCACTTGCGAATGTAGACTGAAGCAGATGTATATGACTTATCGAAGTCAAGAAATTGCGATCTTGGAAATCCTCTTAGACGAGTTGCCCCTAGGTTCAACCATCTTCATTTATATGAAGACTGAGCTCGAGGGATACGATAAGTACAGAAGATTCGACAGCAACGGAGTGCATTTATGAACATATGCAAATTGTTGATTTGATACTTACATATTATCATATTAAACGTTTGATAAAACCCGAATGCGCGCTTTGCGAAATCGGACTCTACTAAATCACGATAGAGCACAATGTTCACTCAGTGAATGACAATTCAGGATTCTGGGGGCTATATGACATGCACACCAGACAAAAAACAAATAAACAGGGAGGAACATGCTCGAAGATGAATGATACTTACTGATCATACTAGTCGTATGGTACGTTCCAAGGGGTGCATCGAATGGAAGGCTACAAATGAGCGCTACGAAAACCTCCTTCTAACCCTAAAGTAAGGGTGAATCCTAGTGAGAATCGACATGAATTAAAATGAGATAAGCCGAATTGGCACGAATTACCTAATTCAGCTTTCTTCACGCGTTTTCAACGCGATTCGTTGAGTGACCCAGTTTCTCGATTTAATTAATGTCACTTTCCACTGGGCCGGTGAATGCTTCCAATCGTGCCACTGCACAGGAACTTGAAGTTCCTCCATGGCTTGCCCTCATTACTTTGCTAGTCACCTTAACCAGTCAGCTTTGCCCGCGCTAGCTTAGCATGCGCGAAAGGACTACACTGAAATGACACTTGGGCCTCGTGGACAGCAAGCAGGCGAGTCCCACTTGTTGGTCTTCCGTCTGGTTGGTTGTAGAGCAGACATGAGGACTTCCACGGTCCCTATCTGCATCTGCTCGCTTCATGAGTCAGTGATAATAGAGATTATAGCTTGCTGGTCCTCGGTAGCGGCGAGATCGTGCTCATGTGCCCCAACTTCTCCGGGTCAGCATGTCCGGCCAGCTATTGCTTCCAGACCATGCTCCTCAAGTGCTTCACCTGGAGGTCTCCTTATCTCTCTCAGTGATACTGAACCCAAACACGAAAGCTGAGCATGGCTGCTGAAGACGTTAGTAGCTCTCCTGCTGATGCATTCGAACCCGCTCTACCCACACTAGACAAGCTTGGAGCTGCGATTAAGCCAGATCTCGACGCTCAGGCTGTCGCTAGAGCGTGGTTCCAGGCATTCTTGCAGCACGTATCGTCTAACGATGTCGCGGGCGTTGTCAGTCTTTTCGCGGAGGATGGCTGGTGGAGGGATTTGCTCGCGCTCACCTGGGACTTTCGTACGTTTCACGGAGCAGCAAAAATCAAAGCGTTTCTCGAGGATCAACTTCCTGTCATAAAGCCGACTTCGTTCGATCTGAAGAGCGCTGAACTCCAACAGCCGTATCCTGACTTGGTGTGGCTCATGGGGACGTTTCATTTCGAGACTGAGGTCGGGATCGGGAGCGGCATCTTTCGTCTTGTGCCCACGTCAGACGGGACGTGGAAGGGATATACGATGTTTACCAACCTTGAGGACCTCAAAGGGTTCCCGGAGAAGGTTGGACCGCTGCGCAACCCGCTGCCGAATCACGGAAAGTGGACAAGCGAACGAGAGCGCGAGAGATCGTTCGCCGACCGCGATCCGACTGTTTTGATTATTGGAGGAGGTCAGGGTGGGCTCACGGTTGCTGCACGACTGAGCTACATGGGTATATCAGCACTGATCGTCGAGCAGAAGGACCGTATCGGGGACAATTGGCGGGATAGATATCAGGCATTGTGTCTTCACGATCCTGTCTGTAAGTGTCCATGACTGCGGAATCGTTGTTTCGCTGACATCGTCTTGCCTGGACAGGGTACGATCACCTACCGTACCTTCCGTAAGTCATGGTGCCTTTTTTCAATGCTCTCACTATATGCCCTTCAGGTTCCCATCTACATGGCCCGTATATACGCCTGCACAGAAGGTATGGCTCCATCAGCTCATTGCATCTCCGGTACACCACTGACACTGGTGAAAGCTCGCAGGATGGCTAGAGTACTACGCGGAAGCGATTGAACTGAATGTGTGGACATCGACGACGGCAGTGCGCGTGGAGCAGAGGGATAGCAAGTGGGCTGTAACGGTACGCAGGAAAGATGGCAGGGAACGTGTCTTAGTCGTCGACCATGTCGTGATGTGCATGGGTTGGCAAGCGGGAGTTCCGTATATTCCTGAGTTTCCGGGACGGGTAGGCCCCGTTTTTATTGATGCTGTGCAAGCATAAGTTGAGGCAGTGACTACAGGAAGAATTTCAAGGTCAGGTTTTGCACTCCACTCAGCATGGCTCGGCAACGAATCACGCTGGAAAGAAGGTGGCGGTTGTTGGTTCAGCTACTTCAGGTAATCGTTCAGCTAGATTTTACGTTTTGTGTCCTTACACCGTTTTGATGCTAGCACATGACGTCGCCAGTGATTATGCCGATCATGGTATAGGTGTGTGCCGCATGTTCATGTCCTTGTAACGACTATATGTGCCATCCAGATGTAACGCTTGTCCAGAGGAATTCAACATACATCATGTCAACTACGGAGGGTTTCCGACTCGGACTCGGCAGTATGTGGTTCCTCTGTGTATGGCGTGAATGGGGATTAACTTGCATTTACCTCAATCAGGTCTATACCATGAAGGCGGCGTTCCTGCGGATGTTGCTGACCGCTTATCTAGTTCAATGCCGATCGCATTGCAGAAGGAGACGAGCAAACGCCTAACGGCTGCGATAGCGGCAGCAGACAAGTAAGCAGAAGAGCATGTCGATTTATGCACGAAGGTTGAAATTCTACATAGGGACCTTCTGCAAGGTCTTCAGAAGGCTGGTTTCAAGTACAATATGGGCATAGACGGCTCTGGACTATTTCATCTTGTTTACCTTCGTGGGGGAGGATACTACTTAGGTTAGTTTCGTGAGCGTCTTTGCGCTTTCAAGTGATTTATCACAGCTACACAGACGTCGGTGCCTGTCAGAAGATCATAGACGGGGAGATCAAGTTGAAGAACGACAGTCAGATTGAACGCTTTACAAAAACGGGACTCAGGTTCACGAACGGCAGCGAACTGGATGCGGATGTGGTCCTTTTTGCAACAGGGTGAGCCTCCTGTGCTCCATGAGCCGAGAGCCGACTGATTTCCAGGCACTGTCTCAAAGCTTTGAGAAAGCCGATTCCGTGCTGGAGAGACTCGTTGGACCAGAGGTCGCATCGAAGATGTCACCGCTGTGGAATTTGACTCCAGAAGGCGAGCTGCGAGGTGTGTGGCGATGGCTGGGCGTGCCCAATTTGTGGTATACGATGGGTGCGATTTATCCTTTCTACGGCTAATTCGTGATTAGCTGATACTTGCTGCACTTGCAGGAAACCTAGCGACGTGTCGATTTCACTCTAAGCATCTGGCCCTTCGTAAGTGTCTAGTCTATGCGATCTTTCGTTGTTGTGCCGATCCCGGTCTCACTCTGGGTTGTTGGCCTCGCAGAAATTAAGGCCATCAAAGAGGGCATATATGGGAAGCGTTATGCGACGGTTTGAGTCTGTCGGATGCAGAATGTTCACTGTGATCTCAGCAGTCGTTTACTTCTACAATTCTTGACACGACCCTAGTTCTTAGTATGATGCGGGACTGCGGTAAGTCTGAGCACTGTCGGATATAAGGTCTTCGTGGGGTGGATACCGCCTTTCAGGTCAAATGGAGCCGGGAGCGTTGATTGCAACACGATTGGTCACTTATCGGCGAAAATCGACTTCGACTTTGGCCACTTATGACTACCACGTCGAAGATGCTCATGCAAAAGTGACAAAACAAGCAGACTTGGGGACACCATTCTTGCCTCGCAATTTCCAGGTAACCTGGTAGAGCTCTGCGGCGTCTCGGATCTCGCACAGCCCAAGCTGGGCCATCGGGTATGGAATGGAAGGTGGGGGCGGATGTGAACCGGACACACACAATACGGCTCAAAGCCCACAGTTTAGGGAAAGTCTCCTAAGGCGGGGTATTCGGCCGAATCGGCACACTTACTCAAACTTACAAACCATTTTTCCGCAGCTTGCTTATATCTAAGTGGAGAACTTCGGGGGTTGAACAAGCCGTAGATGTGAATGGTGAGCGACAGGAATCTGATTCGCGGCATGACGGATGCGAGCCGACACCATTGATCGCTTAGTCGTGCGCTATTGAGTCATCGTTTGAGTGACGGGAGAAGCATTGTTTACCGTGTTGACAAGATGAACGTTGCTGCGCCCGCATACAGTGAGGGTACAGGTGGAGCTATTTACGGGCCAGTTCGCCAGGTCGTTCTGGCGAGAGACCTCTAATTCGTCCAAGCGCAGCCAGCAAGGAGTGTTTGAGCTATCAGGTTCGGACGTCTCCACCTCTGCAAGGCGCGTTTGGAAGGATGTGGATAAATAAGATTGTGGTTTGCTACAGTGAGCGGCGGTCTGCATGACAGGGAGAGTTGACGTTGGTCCGTGTCGAACTTGCATTGTCGTGGGAACGAATGGCACACGCATGATCTAGTGGCAGACTGATAGCTGTAACATCATTCGTACGACCCGCCGCGCTTATTATCCGAGTCTAGCTGGTAGTTTTGGATTTCACGCAATCTGAAGATGAAAAGCTGAATGAAATGGGATTGCCATCAAGCAGCATTGAACTGGATGTATGGCCTGTATATGTGTATGTATGTATCCATACTAAGTTTTCACAGGGAAAAGAAAGATATTCATTTGCTTTAACCTAGAGCGTAAATACTACTTAGACTGAGCTGAAGGTAAACGTCACAAACGCGCCGCGCGCCGCACTGTGCAGGAGCGATCGCAGATCCGATCAAATTACGAGGATGTCCTGATATGGAAATTGCACTTCAAATTTAAGCGAATCGAGAAACTCGCGATAAGGTTTGAGCGCGGGGCCATGTGCGTTGCGGAGCCAATTTCGCTGTGCGCTCTCCACCTCTGCCATCTCCCTCCATCTCCCCCACCATGGACCGCGCAGACGCCATCGGCCTCCAGGCCGCCATTGCGCACGCACGCAAGAGCTACAACGACGGCGGCGTCCCCATCGGCGCCGCCCTCGTGTACCACGGCGAGCCCGACGCGCAGGGCAAATCGCAGCCAAAGTTGCTCGGGCAGGGACACAACCAGCGCATCCAGAAGGAATCGCCCATCCTCCACGGGGAGACATCCGCGTTGAAAGACGCCGGGAGATTAAAGGCGGAGATATACAGGAACTCGACCATGGTGAGCGTCAACTCCCCGGAGTCGCGCAGCGGAGACGAGACGAGCTGACATGACCCGATACCCATGCTAGTACACTACTCTGAGCCCCTGCAGCATGTGCTCCGGCGCTGTCATGCTCTACAAGATACCCCGTCTTGTGATCGGCGAAAACGTCAACTTTAAAGGCGACGAGGATCTGTTGCGAAGCCGGGGTGTGGAGGTGATCGTGCTGGATAACGCAGAGTGCAAGGAGCTGATGCGGAAATTTATTGCCGAAAAGCCCGAGGTGCGTCCTTTGACCGCCGCAATGTCACGAACAGACATTTATTCTTATGCTTCGCAGGAATGGTACGAGGACATCGGTGAAATCCCCCCTCCTTCAAAGTCTGAATAGGATGGGGCGGCTGCAGCGTATGACGAGAAAGTCTCGCAAGAGACCGCCCCGGGCATGTGGAACTTCGCTTTCTGCACGGAGTTTGCTTGTTTCAAGCTACCATAACATCCGTCTGCAGCCACAGGACAAGATACGAGCTACGCGACTCAACATGACGTGCTCGCAACAATCACCATCTAGTTTAATCGGCTTAGTGTACAGGAGCGATTCTGCTAATCGTGCATGGGCAATGGTTGATTATTTCATAAATTATACTGCATTTTTAACGCTTCGCACTAAAACACTTTGGTAATTGAAGAATGACACTGCTCGCTCCTTTGTCTGGTCTCACGGCTCTAGGGGTAACAAGATCGAGTGACTATGTACATAAAGTAATACATGTTCTTAAAATGCTGCCTGAAATCGTACATCTCTCCAGACGACGTCTACAATCTGGGGAGCACCTCACACATGCCTGTTGTCCTGCACCCAAACCTCGGCCAACTCGACGAGCGAGTTCACGATGATATCGACTTCGCCGCCATCTTGCTTAGACCTCGGCGCCGTTTCCAAGCTCTGGTCTTCACCCAGGCGCGGGATGTACACGGTCTTCATGCCGTGGCTTGCCGCTGCGCGCAGATCATAGATGTGGGCTGCGACCATCGCGCACTCGTGCGGCTGCAATGCAAGATACTGCAGCGCGCCGAGGTACATCTTCGGGTTGCTGTCATCGCCGTATAGCGGTATACATAGACAAGGAATCAACAGACATGGCTCACGGTTTGTACGAGCCGAGGATGTCGCCCGCAAAGACTACATCCCACGGCAAGTCTGCGTGCTTCGCCTACGGGCACGTAAACTGGCGCAACGCGCGAAAGGGATGGGGATCTTGGACATACCATGTCGACAAGGAGCCTGACGTTCCCGTTGGACAGTGTCCCGATGATAGCGTGCGCCTTCAGCGCGTAGAGGCCCTTGGTCGCATCAGGCCAGCCTGTGGGCACTCGCGGGTCACAATGGAGGAAATGGAACGGCATATGCGGCAGGGATATACCATCTAGTCGATGCCAGAACAACACCAGCTCCCTGCGCTCCTGCTCGTTCCACAGTTTGGCCAGCTGCTCCCATCGCGGCGTGTCTAGCATCGAGTTCAGAATCTTCGACCGGCAGCGAGTTGTAAGCTCGTCTCCCGCCAACGCAGAGTAAGTCGCAACTAGGCAGAATTACCTGGTAATACATCTCGTCTATCGTCGACGGCCCTTCTCCGCCATTGGCGATATGATTGCTGAGAAGCTGGTCGATACGCGCAAGTCGCGAATATGCACCAGACGACGCACGTCAGCTTGTAATAGCCTGCCCTCCACTCGCTCGCAAAGTCATCCCAGTCTGCGGCACCATAGCGCATATGAGACGGCGCGTCAAGTCCCGTCGCGAAGTCCTCCCGAGTCCCGGGCATATGCATGATGTCTACGCACCGATCTGGCCAGTGGCAACCTTCCCTTCGGTGCTCTCTCGCAGCTGTTTCACAACACTGCTCCGCCAGTCGACGACTGTGCCGAATACATCAAACACAAACGCTTTGACGCCTCTGAGTCCCGACATGTCGAACACCAAGCGTCGGCTGCTCTTGAGTGCTACGGGCAAGTTGTCGAGCGTCAACAGATGCCGGTGAAGTTGGTGACGCGAACAAGCTGGGCGATTATGCACATGCTCAGTGGATCATCATGCCGTGCCCAGCGATGCCTCACTCAGGAGAGTTACAGGAGAATAAGGCAAAAGTATACAACGTAGCTCAAGGTGCGACATGGGTAACCTGAGGGTCAGAGCCCTTCTTTCTCCCAAATGTTCTTCATGAGGCGTAGTGTTTGTTTTGACCTTCTCGGAGACTCGGATTGGAACATTTGTATGACAACAATATGTGGTCATTTATACTGTTTCAATTGTGTCGCCTTTAGTTTTGCGATCAACGAGCCCGAGGCGACATAAGATGTTCTTGCCAGGAGGATTTACCACCTCCGCTCGCTATTTACTGCCACATAAAGAATCAAATCCGCCGCTGAACGACTACAACAATTGGAAGATAAAGTCAACTACTCTAAAAAGTGATATTAAACACGAGCTGAGGAAGAGAGGAGAGGAACGAAAACGAAGCAAATCATAAATGGAACACGTACGCAGCAAGTGGGCAGGGCGTCACTCCGATCAGTTACGGAATGAATCGGACGCAGTTCAACGAGATTATTCATCTGCGAGGAAAGAAAGCGAGAGACTAGCACTGAGCGTGCGGAATGTCGAGCGGGACATGATGCTATGGACGCAAAACTGCCAACACCTGGCGAAATGGCATCGCGTCTGACTACGACAGAAATTGAGCACATCAGGGTTGACATATGCTGGCGGCGACTGTCATAGATATGTAGGAACAACACTATCACGAGCACCACATGCATATAGGTGGAGTCGAAGGATAGTCATTCGGATATTTAATGCGCCAACAGCAGCACCTGTCTGCCATTCCTAGGCTACAGTAATCGAATAAAACACACATCTAGTCGCCCGACCGAACTCCTCATCCCGCGTGAATCGCGATGTAATCAGTCGAGCTCCTCAATCAACGCTCTCATTAATAACGCGCGCATGTGGAGGTCCTCACGCCTGCTCAAGCTTGTCACCTCACGTCTAAGGGTACCAGTGGATTTCAAATCGTTTCTGAGTTTCTTGGGGTCAAACTTCGGTTTAGGCTTGTCAACCTGTGCACTCTTGCCGCCTTAGTTGGGTTGCGGTGCGCTCCCGTAGTTTCCTCCTGCGGCATTGGACGATTGCGCATCCCCAGCATTAATCTGCGAAAATGGGCGGTCATCGCACCATGAGCATATCCTCGCGCTCGCGAGGCCACTCTGAACGTACTTCCTGATATCTTTTCCTGCCCCTGTTCTGATTGCTGCGGAGACACCACACACGGGTAGTGATACGCGTGATGGGGCGATGTTCAGGTGATCAGCACGATGAGATATCCGCCCGTGAGTGCAATGCTGCCAGTGAGGACAGCCAAAATTGCGCACCTGACGATCTTTTTTAGGATTTAGCTTACCGGCAGCCTTACTGAGTGCAGTGCCACGGCGGAATATAGCAACCGTATCATACACGTCGCGGGCCGACACATACGGTGCGAACTCCTCGCGCGCATATAGGCCTGCATAGGACGGGGAAGGGGTGGCACTGCAAATCACAAGCATGAATGAGCCTTGCCTCGCCTGCATTCAGATGGGGAGAAATACAAAGTCAATTAGGGTCGTCGTCACCAAGAGACCTCGCACGGCTGATATACTCACTATCCAGTACCTGAGCTTGGAGTTGGCGAGCGCACAGAGATCAGCCGAGTGCTGGAGACAAATTGGCAGGGTGGATGGTCATTTTATACCAAGTTCGATGGTCCGTGAAGCCGTGCACGCTAGCTCGATGTGACTTGTGTGAAGACTTCCCGCAATGTGCAAACGGTGACTAGGCGGATCCGACGACTCCACGCAAGAATCTTGAACCTCAAACCGCAGCTCATGGAGTAGTACTTACGACATATCGTCAGTGCCGCTCCCGGACTCATAGCATGATCTAGATACAAAGCACTCGCCAGTGGTCCGCTGGGTTTCTGCTCAATACTGTAATCAAGTGGCCATGTTTCAAGTGTTTCGGATGATCTCTGAACTTAAGGTCTGTTTGGCATGAAAGCACCATGCCGAACTGGCAGGCCCTAATGCAATATGCCTCAGAGCTGTAGCGCCACCGTATAGAATTGGACAAATTCTCGCAAAAATACACTGAGCGGGAGTCGAACCCACGCCGCTTGCTGTAGATGCAGATTGTGGAAGGCAAGCATGATACCGTTTCACCATCAGTGTACGAATATATGCAGTTCACTTCAAGATCTATCGGGCTGTCCATGTGAATGCCTCCGGCGGGCGGGGTGATCCAGGACAAATGAACGATGGATGTACATAAGGCCAACTCACATCACAGGCACTGCCATGGCATTACTTATACTGAGCATACTTCAATACACTGACAGCATATACTTATCTTCATAGTGAGGTGGAGAAAGCGGTAGTTTATCGCCGAAGAATTGGCCCACAAGCTCTTGCCTGGGCGTACCGATGGGATATACCTTAGGCTTCACAAGCATCTTCCCTAGAGCTGATGGAAGTTTCAAAGAAGTGTCCTATGATTTGCTCGTCCGACAGTTTCATCGCTGAGCGTTGTCGGTTCCCTAGATTCCACCGTGGATGCTGCAGGGGACTCCTCCATTATTATCTCGCCCTCCGCCTTGACCTCCTTCATCACGGAACCAAGGCCTCTCCGGAATTTCGGCCTAAATGACCTGCAGGGGTTCGGTCGATAGCAGAACCTTCTCCACATCTTCGTACGGGTCGGCCAGACGCATGCCGAAGAAAGCTCAATAATATACCGACGGAGCGTATCCCTGCATACAGAACGTTCATGGAGAGCAAAGAGTCATTCTTGGACACCATTACTAAATACGTCCCACGCCAGTTCCAAACATTTGCCTTGCGCAGAGTTGCTGTGCTCAATGGTCGTACGAAAAAGGTCTTGCGCCGCCGATAGAGACCGCCTGTTGCCCTAAACTTACATTGACTGCCATACACTGACTTAAGGCGGGTCTTACCATATTACGCATTCGACTCTGTTGACGGACGTAATGCCCGATCGTTTTGGCTCTCGCCAGACAGCTTCATGAGCATACATGTATGGGTGTTCTGTATTCTGTAGTGGTAAGATATTAGACCGATGGTAATTTACACTCATAGCTGAAGCACGTACTGACAGCTTTCTATCGACAGTGGGTAAAATACATGTAGCAGAATAATCCGTCGGCACAGATACGTCGCTGGTCGTACATCATAAATTCAGCACACCTAACAGAAAATGAAGATCAACCCTGAAATAACAACAAAATCACCGCTTCTGCTTCTCACTGTCTCTAGACGGGCGATCTCCGATATACACTGGCTGCTTGCTCTTCAGGGAAAACTCGACCTTAGTCGAGAGCTCTGATACGCCCCACGACGCAGCCGGCACGCCGATATACATTTTCTTGCCTTGCAAGTTCGTACCTTTGATCAGGGGCGGGGATGTTATGGGCCTGGTGGTGTCGTCCGCGGGCGAACATTGCACCACCTGTTCCTGCTTTGATGTAATTGGAGTCTCACCAACAGGCTCTGGACAATCGATTGGGCTGGTTGCATCGATACTGATGCCGCTGCTGATGTCGCCACCAACAGCTTGCACAGCGGCATCAGCCAGAAGAGGCGGGTTGCTGTGTCCCATCGGAGTCTACATAGACGGCGTTGAGCCAGAAGCTGGAGTGGACATGTAGAAACCATACAACCACGTACCGCCGGCGTGTCCCGCACCGTCCGGTTTGCCTTGGAGAACTGCCTCGACTCGGCCTTCAGACACGCAACCTCCGCCTCAACGGCTGCAATTTGTTCCCGTAACCTGTTTTCCCGGCCCTGTGCAATCATGAATTCGAATCCAATTTCGAGACACAAAAGAAACTGCACGGACCCCTATTTTTGGCGCGAGTTGTGTGCATGACCTCCGATCTTGTTTCCGGCTCTGTCCTGATATCCCAGTGTCATCGACACGCTGTTTATTCGTATCGCGCGTGTCTTGCAACCCGGTCCCGTCTCCAAGCCCGGACTGGTACTCTGTGCCCTGCGCTTTCCGAAGCTTGAACAGTATCCGCGGCGGTGCGCGCTCGGCCACCTCGCTCGCCTGCACCCCTCTATCCTCGTGCGCAACGTGCGTCTGCACCTCTACCGACACCCGCTGAGCTTTCGCGCGCTCGCGAGCATCCAATTCTGTCTCCACTGCGCTTATTTTATTCCTGCAGTCCACCCGCAGCGTGTCCAGCTCGTGTTCATATTTTCGCGTTCGACGCTCCGATCTCTCTGTAAGCACCGCCAGTTGCGCACGCACGCCGTCCAGCTCGCGCTCGAGTTCGCGAGCGCGCTTTTCCCAGTGATCCCTCTCGCACTTCGCCTCTTGCAGTTCACGTTTGGATTGGCGTCGTGAGCCACGAAAACCGTGTGCTTCATGCGTGCCAGCAAGCTCATCCCGGGCTCGTGCAGACACGCCGGAACCATTCTCAATTGGAACGTGCGGAAAAGGTGATATCTCGGCCCGAACACGATTCGAAATGCCAAGTTCGTGCGCACCTATAGATCCGCCGCTGGCCACTCCACGCACATGAAGACGAGACAAGCTGTCTGACACTGGTCTGGCACTGAGCATGTCGGGTTCGTGCCTCTCTAAACCCCTTTCTTGTACCCGTCGTCCCCGATCGTTTCTCGGCCCACTCGGTCCGTCCCAATCGTACGGATCCTGAGCGGCTCTCGACAGCTCTTGCTCACCAAAACTAGCCGGTCTCTCCCTGCTTGCATCGCACGTATGGCCGCGGAACCCGATCGATGAGTTATTCTGGGTGGTGTGTAGCGGAGCTGGATCTTTCACCAGAGCATTCTCCACGCTCCTCACATTCTGAATCCGCCGTATATCATGGTCTCCGTCTATGGCCCTGCCATGCGAATTCCGATCGTCCAATCCAAATTCGTGAGACCGCCACGTTCCACTCTCGCTCCAGCTCTGTTCTCTCTGTGCCTCATCGCTCGAGAGGTGTTCGATCTGAGGTGATGGAAGCATATTCGAGTCCCCGCCCCTCGTATATGCCGTGCGGCCCATTGGAGTGCGATGTCCCGCCCAGGCCAGGTGCGATCGCTCGGGGTTCACAAGTCGGCCAGCAATATCAGCCCGGCCAGTAGTATCAAGAACACCGTCAGAAGCGGGGGGTCTCCACTCTTTTTCTTGGGGTATAAAACTTGTATGTGGTGGAAGATGGTCTTGTGCAGTAAGTTGTATTGGCGGCAAGCGGATCGGTGTCTCTTGAGCAGTTGGCAAAGGCAAACTTGTGTGTATAGAATTCGCTGAGTGGTGTCGTGCCCCCCAGCCAGCCTCGGCTCCAGAAATGGATGAGTGGGGTCGCTCGTGATCCGAGGGGTCATCCGGTGGCCTGTGGCGTCGAGCAAGATGGTCTTGCGGAGGTTTCTGCACTGTAGTTGACGCAGTAGAGTGGTAGCTGGCTCTCTCCGTGTCGTGTCTGTCTGTCCGAGGAGATGGAGGTGGATAGAGTGGTTCTTTGAACCACGCACGAGTCTCTTCATGTCCAGGCGGATGTGACCAGTGCGGGCGGTCGTATGCGAGGCCGTACGCACCCGCATTTGTGGGCGCATCGTCTGTTGCATCCTGAGGAGGCTCTGCAGCGGGAGTGTTGCTTCTAGAATTTGAACTAGGTGTGATATCTATAAGCTGAATCTTACGGGGCCGACTGCTCTCTTCGTCCGTACGGGTAGGGTTCTTCGAGAACCATGGGGGTGTTTTAGCGCGAGGGTATGATGATCCCGGAGTCTCTCCATCGTTGTTCGCTGTTCTCTTCCGGGGAACGCGCTGGTATCCAATCTCCAACCTTTCCCGATGAGGATAAGGTGCATAAATCTGTTGAGAGCCGTATTCAGGTAACATGACGAGCAGGATATACAGGATATTCCAGATTCTGAGGTATTGTTGAGGCTCACTCAAATAGAATACAAGTTCAAGTGAGACATAGCAATCAGTGGACGCCAGAGAGCTCGCAGAGATGGTGGAAGTCGACGAGGAGAACTTGTCAGGCTCGGCACACGTGCTCGGTCGATCAAGTCGATCGCTGATGCATAGCATTGACAATTAAACAAGTGTCACTAAAATAATCGATTCGCAGATCATAGACATAAAACAAAGTTCTCCAAAAGCTACAATACACTGTTTCACTGGTCGATAACATACACTGCAGAACTTCTAATACAGTCGCCTTTCGACATACAAACCCATCTTTACAAAAATATCATGATCCCATATCCCGACCGCCAACCGCGTCTTCAAACAATCGTTGGTTTAGACTTTGCAAGGCTCGGATATCCGTCTGCAATCCTTCTATCATTTCTTTGAGGTTTTCCATCTTCTTTGATGTCAAGTGATTCATAAAGGGGTCCCTCAGCAACAAAACTCGACCCCTCTCGCGTCCAAGCCCGTGTGGTCGAAATCCCAATCGTCTCTGAGACCTTTCATACGTGGGTTCGGCGTCAGGTTGACGTCTCTGTGTGTCTTCGCAATATCCAGGATAAATAAGATACTGCACGACAGTTCCGATTTTCCCGACAAGTAGACACTTACCTCGTTCGCCAACCAAAGAAATCGGACTCACTCCTCGCTCCGTTGTCTCTGCGTCTGTTGCCGATGGTATTGGTATGTATTTCGATTCGCCTGCTGCCACCTCTTCTGTCAAGGACTTCCTCCTGAAGCGTGGCGGGAGGTTCCTCCTCACCGTCGCCACATCGTCCGGACCTGCTGTACGATGATGATGATGATGATCGAGGTTGATCACCGCCCACGGCGTCTTTCTTCAAAACAAGACTTACCAGCCATCCATGACTGACTACCACCTATACCGGAATCCTGTACATGAACAGCATCCACAGCCATTGTACGCTACTTGGGTAAAATTCGACCGTTCACAAAAGTGCCCGGTAAATTCAAGGCGTACGAGACAGCTGCGATGAAGCGGCGTTTAGTCCACGCCCGCAGCCGTCAAACACCTGGACACACCACAATAGTTCTTGCGCGCACTCTCTAGGTCCGGAGAGATATTGCTCGAAGTAAGCCTACCTGCGGCTCGCATGAATCATGATGGCATTCAGGGTGCAGCCGTCCGCCTCATGTTCATCGATCTTCCTACACGTAAAGAAACCCGGGTCCAAACGCTGGGTTCATTGTCGGAAATATCCCCGAGTCGCATGTGCAAGTGATACGACACGATACGATCCTCGGAATCAGGGACCAAGCTGAGATGGGCGATAAGTATTCAACGTTTGGCAGCTGCTACAGATATATACCGTGACGAGGGGGAAGTACTAGTGCTATACAGGATGTACTAGAATATTAAAACTCCTACACCTACAGTTGTATCTATTTGAAATCATGCATACGGTATAATACTAAGTACATGTATCGATTAGTTCCTCATATATTTGAATAGCCCATTACGAGGGCACAATAGTAGATGGTAATGAGTAAGGTAATCAAAGGCTCAGATCGCCTTGGTATATATAAATCAAGAGGTGCAAGAAGCAGCTGCGCATTATAAACATGAAATCACCAAGTTCTGTAATCATATCCAGAAGTGTCGACCAACTCACAGGAGACTCGCGGCCCTTGTATCTCATAGGTCTCATCCTTAACTTTGCTTCATACATCCACTATCGAAATCGCCATCAGAGCATTTGCGATCGCGAACCCAACGTCGACTCCCGATGTCTCTGGAACGTTTCCACTCTCTTCATCCGACGGGAGCGGTGACAGTGGCGACGAGTATCCATTGTCGTCTCCGAACGAACCCGCGTCCCCGTCAGCAGTCGTGTTCTGAAGCTCCAAAATACACTTATTTCCCACATACGCCTGTACATTGAGCGCAACGGGTATAACCCTGGTCTCGAGGTCTCGTATCGGCGTACACTTGTAAGTCGTTGGCGGCAGCGCACCGACGAACACTCGCTTCCTCGGAGGTAGTGAGTGCGGCCGCTGAGGAAGAGGTGGAGCAACGTCTAGATTGATACCGTCCACCTCGCCACCGTCTACGTCTTCACCATCATTGACAGTCAACAGACTCACGCTTCGTGGGATCAGCATCGAATCCTCCGGCGCAATCGGTATAAGGGGATCTTTGACGACAATCCCGCTGTTGTTGTTACTGACGAAACCCCCGCCGATGCGCTCGCCGGTCACCGTATACACCGCGCCCCAGTACATGCCCTCGCACAGTTCCTTGTCGTAGTTCGCAGGCAGCAGCGCAGGCGAACGCGGCGCATATGATGGTGATGGTGAGGGGGACGGGGGCCCACTCCGCTCCTTGCCTTTTCCCTTCCCATGTGGATGGATGTTCGGCGTGAATTCCAGGGTGTCAAACTTGATGCGTCCGCGGGGCGCCGGAATGTACGTTTCCCCGCGTTTCCGGCAGCAGACGGTGCAGTTACACGTATTCAGACAGCGCGGGCACTCGAATACACGCGCGTATGCGTCGAACTGGATTTCAGGGTACCTAAAAGTTCACGAACAGCACCACAAAGCGGTCAGCATACAACGGAAATCAAATGACGTAAAAGAGGAAGTGGATATACGGTCAGAGTACATCGTGAGAGGGGAGCAAGTACCCACCTCTTGACTATGCAATTGACACAAAAGCGCATCCCACATGGCTCTCCAGACTCCTTGATGATCGTACATCGCATCTTTTCCATAGCTGTTGAACGTCTGCAATGGTGACATCCCGTTGGCTGAGTCGCAAGTGCACGGATTTCGTCTCGTCTTGCGCTAGATATCTGTGTGGCAGGCTCGTCGTCTTCGCTCCAGTCGTTTACATCCCCACCCTCAGAAGGCGTCCGCGAAGGAGAAGGGGTGAGATGCCCTGCAAGAGCACGCGCAGACTTCTTCCGTTTGCGCTTTCCTTCCTCTAATGGCTCTGCGAAAATATTCTTGTGAACACTAGGTCCCGCAACGGGCTCTTTAGGTCTTGCTTTAGGCTTGCGCGCGATCTTTTTCAAGCCCTTCTCCCCGGCCTTTCCACTGCGCGCACCACGATTGTCGTCTGAAGCTGCTGCCTTAGATTCTGCGGACATATGTGCATATGCTCGGCTGGAGTCCTCCATGTCCTTGTCAGTCTTTATCTTGCCCTTCTCTTTGCCTTTGCCCTTCTCTCCTTTTGTCTTCTTCTAAAAGTTGTTAATGATATCAAACCGACATCCTTGAGGTCGAAACTTACCTCCTCTTTTCTACCAGACCCCACTTCCTTAACCGGCTGAGCACCCCCAAGCAGAGACGGATCAATAGTCCCATTGGTGACATCAAACCTGTTCTCTGTGCTACCGAACAGTGTACTAGGGGTCACACTGATATCATGCACATCGAAGTCCATCGACGGACCAACGTACGCGTCCATGCTCGTGTCGATCGCTAGCATAGCGTCCATGCTTGTGTCCATGGCTGGAACATCTCCCATATCTGGCATTTCCTCCGCAGCAACATCAGAGCCGAATGGTGGCAAATCAGACTGAGCCCATGGCCCACCAAACAACCAAGGACCATCCGCACCAGCCTGCTGGCGCTGTAGGTATGCAGAGCTGAGAGCTCTCGACTCGTCCAGTAAGGGGTGGCCTAGTGCGTTGGCGTGCAATGGAAGCAAAGGATGCATTCCGTAGAACTGCTCTGGATGTAGCTGCACAGCGTCATTTGGGCTGAGAGACGGTTCCGGATGCATATATGCGGGCGATGGACCCAATTCAGTGGCAGAGTCTATCGAGTCTGCTGTGATCACAGGGGTTCGGGATGTAGGCGAGCCTTCTCCCTGGTCGTCAACTTTGACGATCCGTTGGACAGCGCGCCTGGGATCTTGCCCGTCCACTTGCGTGAGTACTTCTGATGGCGACTCAAGCTCGGGCATCGAAACGAGGTCCTCGAGTCGGGATCGTGGTCGAGGACGGCTCTCGTTCTGTGCCTTTCTCTGCGCTCGCGCCGCGGCTTTCTCCTGCTGCCGCCGCACTTTCACCTTCTCCACTTCCTTCGCCTTTTCTCTCAAAAACCTCTCCCGTTCAAGCCTATCTTCTTCCTTCCTCGCCCGCATCTCTTCCCATACTTTTCGCTCCCCCTCTGCAGTCGCCTTCCACCACGCACTGTCTTTATCGTGCACTACGAATCTCAACGCAAGACACATCGCGTAAGGATTCACAAGCACCGTATCCTCATCGTCAACATCCACAATGGACAAAGTTGTCGATGGTAAGAAAGGCTCCAGCACATCTACTCCGATATCAGTGTCTGAACCATCCAGTGCAAACTCAGGCTCGTCTTCTATCATGTCTGGAATCGGCAGAGCCGGCACTACATCCACGTGTTGTAAGATATTCTGTTCTGATGCGGCTTCAAGCTTTGTCTTCTTCGTTAGGACCCTGGATGAGCCTGAGCCGAGAGGCCGACCGCGTTTCTTGGGGCTCGACATGCGAGGCGCTGCGATGCTGATACTGGCGGCAGGCGGATGCTCTTGGACAGGTTCCTGACCAGCTGGCTGCATCACTGCAGCTTCGGCCCTCTTGTCCTTCTCCAAATTCGCCGAGGTCGTTTGTGCCTGTGAAATCTGCGCAAGCGCGTGAGCTTTAGCCTGTCTGTGCGGCGTACAAAAGCCTTGGGCGAGAACGGCGCTAGAGATCTCATGGCGTCGTTCGTGTGCAGGGGTAGCTGATCGTTGCCAGTCGTGATCGTCTTGCGCTCGCTTGCGTCTCTTCACTGACTTTTCCTTTTCGCGCCCCCTCTCGCATGCTTGAGTGATCGCCGTCTTCCTTTTCTTCTCATTCTTCTTGAACAGCGCTTTATCCGCACCGCTATTCCGATCGACTCGTTTTAGAATTCCAAGCTTACTCGCGTCAACATAATCCTCCTTCCGAGTATTCTGAAGTGGAGGAATGAGGACAAACGCGCGATTGTGGATGGTACGCGATTGAGATGTTGCAGAAATTGACGAGTGTGGATAAGAGGAAATTTGAGGATGCGAAGACGCAGGGAAGCGGGGACCAACGCGCGATGTTAATGCAAATGACGCATAAGTTCGTGGTTTGCCTGGCGGGGATAATGTTGCAAGCGAAGATAATGGCGATGAATCCAAGGCTGCCATGGGACGGGAGGACTATAGAGAAAGATTCAGACAATGAGAAAGCGAGGAGACATTCAGTCGATATATGCACAGAAATATGGACGCACATCAGTTGCTTTCGCTAAAACAGATTCGCTCACACCTTTATATTGGCGAGGGTCTTGGGCTGTACCCATCCTGTTACATGTTGAAGTGCTCGCATCCTCACGTGTCATTAAAGCAACGGTATGCAGAGGATTCATAGCCGCGGGTGCCAGAAGTGGTAGGTTAGAGGAAGAAGCTCCTGATACTGGAAGCTTAGCAAGATTCGTGCCCAAGTCAATGCGACTTGGTATTCGATTCGATACCAGCGCCGATGGCTCCTTGGTGGCTGTACGAGATTCCGGGGAAATGCTGTCTGACAGCATATCGGGACCTAGAGGTTTCTGAGGCTCTTCCATCAATGACGTAGACAGTGTCCAAGCGAGAGCGTCGTCAGATTCTGGTGATGGAAAGAACAGTGGTGACTTCTTACAGAAATGAGCAAAAATGAGACTGTCAGTGTCAATGCCAGCATTTGCACCATATGAGCATGCATATACCTGTTGAGAGAACGCCTCCAATCCTTGGAGCACTCCACCATGGCCATCGCCCCCAAGAACCGAGAGCCCCACCTCTCCGTCCAGGTCTATTGGTACGTGGCTGAGAGAATCGATATCCACACCAGTACCTAGTGCATCAGATGAGAGTGTTGTGTCAAAAGTGTTGGACACTGGAGACTTCGTGAGATTGTGTGCTGCAGGTGCCTTGGTGCATGCATGAGATAGTGGACGGTTGATATACGCGCTAGAAAAAGATTACCGGGAGATACGACTGGTCGCTAAAATTGGCAACCGAGGAACTAGTGTCCTAAAAAAACACAGCGCGTAAGCAGAGACTGACAGATTGAATGACAACCAAACACAAGTAATGACTTGGACATACCGCGCAAGCAGAGTCGTCCACTTCCTGAAGAGGCACATCCAGCAGGCCTACGACCGTGATTTGATCTTTCTCGTCAGAGCTAGACGAGTCGAACGCACTTTCCAAAGAAGATGACGAAGAATACGACGAATATGCAGATGGAGGCGCAGGAGTAGAGTGTACTGCGTTGCATGCAGAATCAAATTCTGCAGATGAATTAGTATGCTGATGGCGGGCGGAGCGTTGAGTAGAGAGAGGCTTTTGTCGAGCATTCATTCTGCCATCCCAATTTGCAAGAGCAGAGTAAGAGGAGGAGGACATGTCGGGTATAAAACCCCTCACAGCCGTCGAAGCGTGACACCGAACTACGGCGGCGCGCGATACGCGAACATTAGGCGCTTGCGTCGCGTCGAGTCACGTTGGTCACAGAATCGCACGGTTATGATCCGTGACAAAGTCAAAATCAGTTGCCGGCATTTTGGAATTGGTGTGGAAAACTTCAGGCTACCGCCCTCATGCGCTGATCAACAACATATACAACGCATCTGAACAGCTTTATAAATGGTACAATACTAGTCACAATGAGCCACGACATAATATTCTTACGCGGAGGGATAACTTTCGCCGTCATTGCTGTTTACATACTACAACGATAACGACCATGAGGCTATCAATTAGGATCGACAAACATATACCCAAGACAACGGCAATCGGCGCGGTTGAAAAGTAACAACAGTAATTGGTCCGGAGGACTAGCACAATACACGATGGATAGAGAAGAAAAAATGATGACGTCTTTAGTAGGCCGTCAGTATGCAGCAAGTGTATGATCCTGAGAAGCACCAAAAGAGACGCAGGTTTGACACAGCACAACAGTTTCAGCATAATGAACAGTCGTTTTATGGAGGGGATGAGGCGGTCACTGTTGTTTGCATTCCTCCGGGTTCACGTTGTTGTTAGCCGCTGCACCCCGCCCTTTGGGTGGGCCGCGTCGTCTGGCGGGGAGGTCTGCATCCGAATCCGAATCCTGGACAAAATAACATTTAAGCTGAGGAACATCCGTCGAGATAGCGGAAAACGGACAAACCTCGTCCTCGAAACGGTCATCGTCGTCATCATCTTCATCCATGTCTTCAAACTCATCATCGTCATCATCCAAATCTTCGTACTCAAGCGCCTTTCCAGTGAAGAAGTCAATGGCACGAGGGATGATCTGCGACCGAAGTAAGCATATCAATTGCGCGACTAACAAAGGTTCTAGACGAACCTTTTCCTTGATATCCTCGCCGATTTGATAATCCACCTCCAGTTTCTCTTCGAGTTCTTCTAGGTCTACCTCATCCATCTCGTCAGCGGCGTCCTCGTTGGGCGGCTCTGGAGGCGAGAAGAAGTTGAAGAAGGACTCTGTCGGGCGAGCCTTGCGGACCACGCGAGTCCGGTTCGTGTCTAGAACGACATGAATTAGTATGAAGTTTTTTTTATTGAGAGAATGAGACACCAGTGAGGTCGGAAAACTTACTTTTATTCCTCTGCTTCTTAAGCTCAAATTCTTTCGTCAGGTCCTTGGCTTCCTTCCACTTGATTTCTGTACCGATCGCGCGATCGTACATGAAATCACCCGAGTAACCAATCTCCTCCTGGTAAAGATATGTCTTCTCGAGCACATCGTTCTCAAAGTACTCATTCGGGCTGAACACAAAGGAGAGCTTGAAACCGAGCTTGGAGTCCGTGGATGGCAAGTACGAGAGGTGGATGTCAATCAGATGCTTGAGCGCGCCGGCATCCCGATCTGTGATGATCTCCGACAGACCCACATGGTTCCTCAGTGCAGTAAGCCAGAATTCGGGAATGGGGGCGGCGGGAGAGTCGACCACCTCTTTTGACAGAGGCGAGTAGTCGGAGTCGTCCTTCGCGGACTCCTTCTCACCAGCCTCCACCTCCTCAGGCGTTGGCTGGGCAGCACCGGTGATAATGGCATGTCGGCGCTCGTACAATGGCTTTTGCAGCTCGTTGTACTGCACGCAGATTTAGCGATCGCGCCTACAAGCCGAACGAGATGGCGGGATCACCGACCTTTTTCTCCAGCTCGAGGCATTCCCTCTTGTACTGATTTTGCAGTTCAACCTGCTTGACCTGCACGCCTTTCAGCGCCTCCACGCTCTTTTTGACTTCAGCAGGCAGGCTCTCGATGTATCCTGAACTCTTTCCGACCAGACTAGACAATTTTCCTTGCACTAGACCAAGCATGGCCTGTTGCACGGCATTTGGAGAGTCCTCCTCTTCCTCTTCACCTTCATTGTCTTCGGTGATGTCGGGGACAGTAGGACGAGAGAGGCCGGCCGCAATGGGTGCGTGTGTCAGGGGTGTATTTTGGGGAGTTGGTGCGGTGAGATCGACCTGGTTAATGGTAATGTTGTCAGACATGGCGGGCTGATGAGTGCGGTTGTGGATGGGAGAGGGAGGAGGATATGGTGGGGGAGAGGGATCAAGAGCCCAGAAACGATGCAGGACAGGACCGAAAAAAAGCCACGCCGGCGGAGTTTGAATTTATAGTAACTCGTGGCTTTTACATTTACATTTCACCCAGCCGCTGCGTTCAATCTCGAGCAGCAACGGAATCGCGAGGCAGTATGTTGGGCGCAGGGCAGGTGCAGAGCCGAAGATTTAGATTCCAAAGATTCTAACCCAACGTAATGCCTTGCTAATCTCTGCGATATGATGTACGTAACAGATATTTATGTAGAGCCACATCTAACATGTGTACTGAAACGATCGACATAAGCTGTATATGAGTTATAACTTATATGCGCTTCATGCACTTTGCTGATAATGCATTGCTTCACGATCCAGACAGCGAAAGGGGAATAAGATGTGGTATACTGTCAACCTCGGTTATTACTGTGTGATCACCTTGATGCGAACTTGTTGCTGGTGTGTCCGTACAGTGATACTAAGACTAGAAGGCGGAATTCCGAAATCCGTATATGAATCCGCTCGGTAGGCCGTAATTGGCTGCTCGCGCAAACCACATGTATGGCAGGTATTTACAAATCACTTCCATATACTCACAACTTACACCTTCTCATAGACGTACAAATAGGCTAGTTTCTTCAACTCATGCACGCTCTCCACATCCGCCTTGACCACCTTTTCATCGTTGAACAACACCCACCCCTCGTCCGCCGCCCCGGAGTCTTCAACGCGGATATGGGCCACGTAATGTCCAGAGTGCACGGACGGCCCTTTGTGCGAGATGAACGCCTTGAGCTTATACCTGGCCGGTAGATCCGACGAACCACCCGGACCAGACGACGATGGCGCCTCCATGGCCGCAGCGGTCGGCACGTCTTCCCCATTATCGTCCGGATGAGAGAACAGCCACTCTACCGCACGTTCCGCGTCCCCGCCCTGCACGAACAGTCAGCAGACACTTCCCGATAAGCCACATCTGCTCACTGTCTCGCGCAGCGCCTTGCGCGCCTGTGCGTGGGTGAAGCCCATCTCGCTGAGCATGTCCACCTGCTCCTGCGACGGCTCGGGCCCGCCCGCACCCGATCCCGACACTTGGATCGGAGCATCGATGTCTAGAACCATTTGTATAAGTCAGAGTCAGCCGCAGTGCAGGAGCAGTCCACTAGCCGGGATCTTCCATATGAGCAAATAGCCATTCCATCGCCGCCTCCGCGTCGCTATTCCCCGTGGCAAGCAAGGCCTTCTGACACCGGATGGTGGGGAACCCCATAGCTTCCAGCTGAGCCATAGCCGCCTCGTTGAATTGTGGAAGACCAGGGGCGGCTATCAGGAATAAAGAATTATAGGTCATGCAAGTTAGTACCCTGATAGATGTTCGTACCTGCTTTATCATCGGGCAGCTCCGTCTCCCCCGATTGCAGACCCCGCCCGAGATACTCATCTAGCCGCAATGTGTCCGAGACGTTCAATGGAATATCTGGCCGGCAGCGTCAGGATTGCATCCTGATACGTAAGCCGCAAACTTAAGATACCTAGCTTCGACGGCACCCAATTCACAAGCTGGAACTTTTTCGCGTGCAGTACGAGCACCTGCGGGAACGTTGCAAACCTTGATCGTCTGCGAGCGCACGCCGCGAGTCAGCAAAATGACACACGGCGAACAGAAAGGTCCCCACTTCGTCGCGATGACGTTCTTCTGACACCCAGGGCATGTGTACTCCAGCGCCTCCACTCCAGTCAGGGTGCTCAGGCAATCGCCCAACCGGACCTCCTCATAAAGCGTCTTCCCCTCGGCGTCCTTCCCCTTCTCGACGGCCGGTACCGCGATGCTTACCACATCCATACCGTCCACCCGGTACCTCACTCGCTTGCACTCCCCGCACTCCAGGCGCTGCTCCATTCCAAACTCAAATATATCCGTCGGCTCTTTCCCCCCGTTGCCCACCTTCTTCGCGTGTCGCCGGAGCACCGTGAGGAGATGCGTAAAGAACTCCTCAGAGTCCTGCTGCCGCATCGTCGAGAACTCCTCGTGCCCTTTCCCAATGAGCGCTTTAAACCCGCTCGGCCGGACACCCTCCTGGAACACGGGTGTGGGAGAATCGTGTGCGAGTGGATTTATCGCCTTCGGGTCGGTCATCCCTGAGTTGGTCGGCCGCGGGTGTGAGTACCGTCCTGAAAGCAGACCGTCGGCGAGCTTGTGCATTTGGCAGTCGACGCAGTCCGCAGGGAGCGTCTCGGTGCATGTGTACCAGTGTGCCGAAGCAGACGGGTAATACCGCTCTTGGAAAACGGGCAACGAGAAGACGGTCTGTATCACCGAGGCCATATAGCAGCTGCAGAATGGTTAGGATCATACGCTGTGTCCAATGATTGGCTCACCTGTTTCCAAGGTTCGACAAGCCGGTCAAGCCTGGTCCGAAAACTGGCTCCAACGCTTTTCCATCTTCCCCGGTGAGTGAGAAATCGAACTTAAGATTGTGTTCGATTTGCTAGGTCACTGCGAGTCAGCGATCCGTAATCAGATATGGTTATGTACACACACCAGCTCGGTCATGGACTTTTCCGTTTTCGTTTGCGTTTGGACATTGATACCAAAAGCGGCGAGATGGGCAGCAAGTTCTGGGTCTTGCTTGGCATCATTGCATGTATAACAGTATATATCTGAGAGGCGACGAGTGCGCATGAATGGCATATTCATACGTGGGTTCTGTATACGCACCGGCATTGCCCTCCGGAGTAATCGTGCCCAGTTTGACACTGATCGGGTGATGTGTCTCTTCATAATGCCGCAGACCATGTCCATTTCCACCGAGACCCCCGTATTGCTGTCTTCCGCAGCCAAGTGCGCCGCATGTAAGACAAAGCCACAAATTCTCCTTGAGGTCACATTTCGAGCAGTGCGCCAGCCCTTCATAAGACGACACTAGGTGAAAATATTGAAATATAACACGGAAAAACGCACCGGAAGCCGGTATAGGGCCTGTAGAAAGCTGCTGTAGGGTCAGGGTATGCTCGCAGGGGAGAATCTCCTCCTCCCATGCCTTCACCTCGGACTGCCGGGCAGAGGACAGCGACTGCATAACACCATCGCTGAGTCCCTTGACGTGAGGATCCAGCATCGCGTTTTGGATCTCCAACCCGTTCTCGGGATCACACTTCCAGCACTTCAAGGCAGTCTTGTGCTCATACTTATCTTCGTCGCGATCTTCGACGATCGCGAGCTTCGTCATCTTCGCAGGAGGCTCCTCATCATCCGCCTAAGCCGCGAATGTCAGCTAAACTTATAGGACTTTAAGTTGAGGGCATACACGGCTCGCAGAAGGCTTCAGCTTACGCTTGACGTTTAGCGTGAAGTGATGTCCCGTCTTCTGCGCGTGTGTGCGGGCATGATGGCGTTCCCTGCCTAAGCATCCGCCATTGAAGCAAGCCAAGCATACATCGATGCCGAGTGGATGATCCTGTTTCGAGTGAGTACTAACATGTCATGGAGGACATGGTCCCGACCCCACCTGATTGTCAAAGCACTGCGTACATTCCTCTCGGTGAACGGACTGGGAAAGTCTGGGGGGCTGTAGTCGAGCTATATCTGCGATATGAGCACAGCTAGCCATGTTGAACGGCTGGCGACAGTGAATAAGTTTTTCAGGTCAACGCTCGCACTTGTTGCAAAGTAGATTCAGGTATGATATTTTTCACAGTTTTCTGGCTGTACAAATAGCTTTTTTAAGTGGTGGGCTCGCAGACGCGAGCAAAAAGAGTAGCCGCAAGGGGAAGGAAGAGGGGGAGGAGGAGGAGGAAGGAAAGCATAATTAGAGGAATATATGCTCTTATGGTCTCGAGACGCCCGCTGATTAAGCAGGACGACCTGGACGAGGACAGTCGAGCCTGGGGAGCGCTCCTCATCCGTCTCTTTGTTTTCTTTCAATTTCGTCGTTCGTTTTTGCCGCTACGAACCCGTAGCCGGTAAGGAGCAAATTCTAGACGCGATTTTTCGAAATTGACAGTCCACTACTTAGTACTGGCACGGGCTCGACCTCCGCTGGCGGAACATAATACGCTAGTCATCTCTCGGACTCAGGATGCCACTCTCAGGCTCGATAGACTTGTCTCTCGCGATACAATCACTACACGTTCGGATCGCAGACCTCGGTAGACGTGAGCAAGAGGCCCGCAATATTCTACAGTACATCTGTGACCAGAAACATGTCCTAGAAGCTGAGCGTGCGTGTCTCGAAGCACAGCTCAATCCTTTCAACAGATTGCCCACCGAACTGCTCATTCAAATTTTCCTCCACTACGTGTACGCTGATGATTCTGGAAGTTCAAACGACGGCAGCTCTAGCTTCTACCGGCCACTGACCTTGGTGGGCATCTGCCAACGATGGCGCACGGTCGCCTTTGCCGCCTCGGCGTTGTGGACTCGTGTCTTGTTTTCGCACCCCCACATGGTCTCTCTGTTCCTCGAACATTCTCGCGGCGCTCGTCTGGACCTAGTGGGTGGCACCCCGCAACCGCCGTATGTCTCTTCGGATTTCTTCCAGAGCATCCGCGACGCTCTCGCACGGGTGCGCTCGATTTCGTGGAGCTCTTGCACCGAATCTGTCCGTGTTATCTTCGAAGCCGTCGCCGGCGCGCTCTCTCTTCCGAGCTTGGAAAATCTGGACCTGGTTGCCCAAGCGCCTGGTTTATCGACTAGCCGGCGTTTATCCTCCGGCACGTCGCTCCCAGCTCTTCGGACTTTTCGTCTCGGCTTGGTCTCCCTCTCCACTCTACCTATCTGCCAGCTTCCGGCTTTGCGCTCCCTCACCCTCAGCTTTCCTCCTGGCGAAAGGCATGTCCGATTGGAGTTATCTGCGCTCTGTGCGCTGTTGTCTCGCGCACCAAACTTGCATGATCTTATTCTGGACGATGCCATACCCGTCATGGACGTTTATGTTCTTCTGGGATCTAGCTTCGGCAACTTACAGGGCCTGCAGCCGCCTTACTTTGCATCGAAGACACCCATCCACACCCGATCTATTGCTATGTCTCAGCTGCGTCGGCTCGACTGGAGCTTTGCACCACCCCAGGATCTGTGGCTTTGGTTCAGCTTCTTGGAGACTCCTTCACTTATCCGACTTGATCTCTGCCTCAACAAGGGGAGTGTAAGGTGGGAACAGAGCTATGAGCACTTTGCGCGAAACCAGCTCATATCCCCGATTATCGGTGGGGCCCCGGATCCCGTCCATCTAGAAAAACTAGAGGAACTCAGCATTGAGTGTGTCGATATAGAAGGTCTAGTGACGGTGCTAAAGAAGCTCCATTTCTCCCGTCTGAAGAAGCTTGCTCTTGTTTACATCCCTCCCCACATGGACCGCATACTGTTTCTGCCCCAGCTCCCTCGCCAGGAGTCTATTTTCCGTGAGCCACGTCTCCTGCTTTTGACAAATCTCTCTCTTGCCTACCTCCAATTGGACCCTGAGAACTTCCAGCTGATGCTGCGCTACATGCCCCTCCTTGAGTCTTTCTCCCTGCGCACATGCCCCGGTGCCGGAAAGGTGATCTGCACCCTCTCTGGCGGCTCGTGCACCAATGCGCACCGCAACCCCACGAGGATCTGGGTGTGCTCGCGCCTGCGCGAGATCAAGCTCTTTGATTGCGCCGACGTGAAGTTTAGCTGCCTCTCGGGGCTGATCCGGGCCAGGAGCGCGAGCGTGCGGGCTAACGAGGGGAGTGGTGCGAATGCGGGGGTGGCTGCGAGGCCCGACCAGAGGCCTATCAGGCCGCTCAAGAGGTATCCGTGCCTTGCCCAAGGTGGACCTCCTGCGACACCGCCTAGGAAGCTGACTGTGGGAGGCGCATCATCTCCTGTGACTGCAGACACGCCCAATAGAGGCTCCGTGTCGGGGTGGAACGCGCCGCTGGAGGTCTCGACCCCGACGAAGATCGACTCCGTGTGCGTTGACGGGTGTGTGTGCGTCTCGGAGATAGAGGCCATGACGCTGCAGGAGCTGGGTGTCTCGAGCGTTGTTTGGTATCCCTGAGTTGCGGCCACGACTATGCTGGATGTCGTGCGCATGTTTCGTGATTTCGTGCATCGCATCGCATCGCGCACTCTTTGTTCCTCCTACTTACAACCATCTTTTCCGTCTACTCCTCGCGTAGTCTACACTCCTCTGACGCTCGTTTACAGCTCTCACGATTCTTCCTCGGCGCACGTCTTGTATCACGCTCGTCCAGTATTTGGTACCACCGATTTAATTCTGTGATTTTTGCCGTCTGTTGTTGATCGAGGATTGCCTCGAGGGGGTTTCCAGAACGCGTTCCCATGCCAAGGCCGAGGTAATCTCCTCGTGTCCACACTCAACGCCCTCAGATTGGGCCGTGTATACTTGCGTCCGCGCTGCCGTACATGCCGTTGATGTTTTGCCTCATCTGTCTCGAGTCGATGCGTCTGTGCAGCGACTCGCCCTGCCGCGCACATCGTGGCTGCTCCAGCCTCCCTCTCCTGCGAGTATATAAGCACAAGCCCAGGGCCCGTTGAGTACTTCCTCCTCCTCCGCGTATTGGCACCGACGGCGACTCGGGCGCCGCTGACGACTTTCCTTCTGTACAGTCTTTATATTGTATCCGTATTCTGGTGTATCTCCACGACGACATGGTCCGACGGCAGGCGTTTTTGCTGCCCATACTCGCCGCGGCGTACACAGCGGCGCACGGCTTCGTGAGCCAGGTCATCATCGACGGCACGGACTATGCGGGGAACCTCCCCGCGAAATACGAAGGTGCGCGTCGCTGTCCCTCTGCTGCACGGGCACAGGCGCATTTTTGCCCCAGGTGCCAGCCCCATCCGCATGATCTCGACGATAGATCCGGTCAAGGGCGCGGACAACTCGAACATCAACTGCGGCATGGGTGCGGAGCTCGCGGAGATCGTCGCGCCTGCGAGCCCGGGGAGCAACGTCACTTTCCAATGGACGGGGGGCGCGGACGGGGGGGAGAACGTGCGCGCTGTTCGTATGGCTGCGATCGACATGCTGAACTCTGTGCAGTGGCCACACACCGTGGGCCCGTTGATGACCTACATGGCGTCCTGCGGCTCCGTCAGCTGCTCGGAATTCAACGGCTCTACCGCCGAGTGGTTCAAGATCGACGAGATCGGAATGAAGGGCCAGAACAGCTGGTACCAGGCAGACATAGGTGCGCCCGTGCTCCTGTGTGTGTTTTACGGCCGACGTATGGGACGGGTGTGCGTGCAGCGGATGGCGACTCGTACACCATCACCCTTCCGCAGAACATCAACCCCGGGGGATATCTGATTCGCCACGAGGTGTGTGCTGCCGCCCGTCCCCCAATCTGCCTCCTGCATCCCGAGGACTCACGCGGCGGCGGCAGATAATTTCGCTCCAACAAGCGGTGAGCGTCGGCGGCGCCGAGTTCTACGTGTCGTGCACGCAGGTGCAGATGGGCGGGAGCAGCTCCGGGACGCCGAACGACACGGTCGCGTTCCCCGGCGGGTATTCCGACACGGACCCTGGCATCTACGTGCCCGACGTGCGTCCCCTGCGCGCGATTCGGACTGTGCGCGGCGGAGCTGACCTGCCCGCAGCTGTTTGACCCCAGCTTCACCGACTACGTCTTCCCGGGGCCCCCCGTGTCGAACCTGGCGTACCCGGGCGACGGCGAGATCACGCCGGCGCTGACTGCCTCCGCGACGTACCCGTCGGGGACCGCGATCCCATCGTACGCGCCAGCTGGTTCCGGTGGGGCCTCCAGCCCGATGGAGACAGCTTCCGGCACTGGAGGCGCATCAGGGCCCGCAGAGACTGGATCCGCGGCGGGCACCACCCAGGGTGGGACTGGCACTGGGCGCACCTGCTCGCTGAGGTCGAATCCCTCCTCGAGCCCCGTTGCGCTGAGCCGGCGGTTCCACGAGGGAGTCATGCGCCGGCTGAGGCGGTCTGTTTTGGCCCCGTCCTCTTCGTAGAGGTCTTGGGCTGGGCTCGCCGGGGCAGCTGGGTGTGCTTGGCGAGGTACGGGATGTAATGTATGTTCCCCTATGTGTTGGGAGTGGACACGACTCGGATCTCACACTGTACTGCTCCGATTTCGATGGAAGGCGTGCTCCCTGGTGGGGCACGGCGAATGTGCGCGCGAGTCGGTGCGTCGATCGTGAGAGGGCTGTGAGCGCATTTGCCGGCGGGTGGACCTCGTCGAGGGCGGAAGGCTGGACGGCTGCCTTTGTGGACCACCGTCCTCCCCTATGTGGACGATCCGCCATCCGTCACGTCGATGGATCCCCCCGGGCTGGGTCGCTGTATCGTGCCCTCGCCACCCTGAGCCCGCCAAGCGAGTGGCCTGCAGCGGCTGCTGAGAGCAGAGAGGCCTACGGGATGTCCGAGCACTCTCAGAGGGGGCCTGGCTCCAGATTGCATTTCAGAACAGACTGCTCAGCTGGTGGCGGCGGGGAACGCCTGCCTGCGCCGTGCGCCGTGCGCCGTCAGCATTGCAATGAGCGAGGCCCACGGTGTAGCCCTGGCCACGGTCGGCCTCATCCCAAGTTGCCTTGGGGCCTGGTATGTCATTGCTTTTTTCGGGATGTCTGGGTGACATCGTGACGGCAGGTGGAACCGTGATCGACAAGAGAGTGCTGGCGGATATGCAGAGTGTATCCGACGCCGGGCTGCACCGTATATTACCTCGCCCTGCACTCGCTGCCCTTCCTCCTCCTCCTCCTCCTCCGCCATGTCTGCCTCCCACCTCTCCGTCGACGACCTTTCTGCGCTATCCAAGGGACAGGTGCCTTTCGAGCTCGCTGCTGCCCTCGTCTACCCGTCGCTTGCGCCTCAAGATGCGTATCCCTCAAGCTCGGCCTCGTATCCCACCAGACAAGACGCCTTCCCCGCATACCCCTCTGCTGGATACCACTATGTCAATGACCAGCCAAGCACCTTTTCCCCTGCCGGATTTCCGTCGGGGGACATTTCTCTGCACGACGCCATCGCCGAGGCGCTTGTGACAGCCCAGCTTCAGCAGCACCCCCCTAGTCCGCCTTCGCACATGCATTATCCAGTCCGCTGGCCTGCGGCCGACAACTTTGGCCCATTCAACATGGCCCACGGCACCATCGGTCCCTCGGTGCACCAGGACATGCCCTTGCTGCATCCGCAAGCCGCCGTTGCCCCAGAGAGTGCATACCAGCCACTGCCTCCAGACGCTCACCGCTCGGCCGCTCAGCCCGCATGGTCGGTCTCGGGCTCGTTAGACCCAGTCACCGGGGTCTTCCAACGTTCCTCGGAGCACCCAAGGATGCGCACGGCCCAGGCTTGCGAGAAATGCCGTATCAGAAAAGCAAAGGTGCGTCCATGCGTTGTCTGCCGACATTTGCATCTCCTAACCGCGGTGGATGTTGCAGTGTAGCGGAGAGCACCCGTTTTGCCAGAGGTGCCGCTCGAGAGGCCTTCTCTGCGAGTATGCGCCCGAGCGCAGGATGCGTGGTCCGAACAAAAACAAGCGCAAGAGCGTCAGCGGAACTGGCCCCGACCGTCGCTCATCGACGCCGCACTCCGAGCGCAGGATGTCGGTCGCCTCGACGAGCTCAAGCTCAAGCGAGGCCGACCACCCCGTCCTCGACATCCCTCCTGCCGTCGTGGCTGCCGTCGTGGCGTCCGCAGCCCACTCCCCCGAGCTGATCTCCCCATCGCCCTTCGTCGACCCAGCCCGGCCACACTCCCACCCGAGCCCCCTCCGCTTCGGCCTCCCGGAGCCCATCGAGCCCATCCCCGTGCACACACCCGAGCAGCAGCACATCGGCCGCCGCCCGCGCCCGCCTCCGCTCAACCTCGACAGCGCCTCGTTCTTCCCCGCGCTCCCGTCCGGGCCCAGCGAGCACACCGTCCCCGCCTCCGCAGTCCCCGCCGGCTTCGCCGACGACACGACGCCCACCGTGCACCCCGCCGCGCGGCGTGCGTCCCTCCCGGCATACCTCGCCGTCACCCCCAGCGCGGGCGACGGCGCCCCGGCGAGCTTCTCGCCCTCGGACTCGGTCCCGCCGACGATGGACACGCTCTCGGTGCACTCGCACTCGCGCTCAAACTCCAACTCCAACTCGACGCCCGGCTCGCTGCACGCGCCGCTCACCCCGCTGTCGCTACCGGACAGTATGCCCGCGCACGGAGACATCGCGTACCCGGGCGACTTTGACTTGGGCACGTTGGGCGCCGTCGAGCACGGCAAGGAGGGCGGCCAGGCGGGCTTTGACCAGACGGTGGCCGATGTGCTGCGCTCGCCTCTGCTCGACCCGGCGGGAAAGCCGCCTGGTGTGGTGCGGTGGAACGGGGAGGTCGAGACGATCCCATCGGAGTAATGCTGCGACGTGCGAACATCTAGCGTTTCGTCTTTTGCTGTAGCGATACTTTGTTCCAAAATCTGATACCATGTATGTATTATATTCCTCGATCTACATCTCGCTGTCTCTATCTCTACCTCTCGTCTGTCGTCTCCTGTATCCGTTCCGTGACATTGTCGTCATTTCGCCTGCTCTACAGCCTATCATAGATGCATTTGGCCGAACCACTAGTGTGTTTGCGCAAGACAGTGATGCAGTCTCTGCAATGGGCAAACTTCATACAGACATCACGACGCACTGAATCTACCGACTATGATCCATTTACAGAAAGCACCACAGCTTCTCCTCTACCGGATGCACCAATCTCCCATATAGTGACCTCTAGTCCTGCGCCATTGCGTCCATCTAGGAGGAACTGCACCTCTATCGTTGCATAGCGGTCCTTTTTCTTCGCAGCCTCCTGGGCTACGAACGAGATCGACGTGAGGAACGTTTCCTTCTCCAGAGTCTTTTCCTTGACCTCGATCTCATCTTCCTCCTCCTCGTCCTCCAGCGGTTCCTCGTCTTCGTCCTTCGGGGGCTTGATCTTCTCAATCTTCACCCCCTCCTTCGCCTCCCACACCTCGAATCCAACCTTGGACTCGCCGCCCTCGCCTACGTCCACCTTGAACCGGAGTGTTCTCCTGCACGGAAGGGGAGTGTCCTTCAGCACCGCAGGAATCCACTGTCCCCCAAGCGCGCCCTCTGCGTTTTCTTCGGGGAACAGCATTCCGATCGTCTTCGTCGTCGCCAGCGCCTGCGCCCACTTGCTCCCGCTCGCAAACGCCGTCCTCACCTCCCGCTCCTCCTCGGTGCCCTCCGCGAGCCCCGCCACCAGCTTCGCCTGCAGGGCACAGCCACGCGAGACGATCGTCGTCGGGTCGCCCGCGCCGCCCCCGACGACGGTGCCCGCGGTGAACGGCGTGACGACCGTCTCCTGGAACCCCTGCGCGAGCGCCTCGTCCAGCCCCGGCAGGCTCGCCGCGCCGCCGACGTACACGACCTCGTCGACGTCGTACACGTCCAGCCCCGCGCCCCCCACGAGCCGCGCCACGCACGCGCACACGCGGTCGTACACCGCGCGCACCTCCATGTCGAACCGCAGGCGCGTGATCGTGCCGGTAAAGTCCAGCCCGTCCTTGAGCGACTCGACGGAGCACGTCGCCGCGCCGGGCGACGCCGAGAGCGTGCGCTTCGTGTGCTCGACCGCGAGCCGCAGCTTCGCCTCCGCGCGGCGGGCCTGCGCGGCCC